GATGCGTGGACGACCGGCAACCTTCTATCAACCGGTCACGACTGCGATTCCCGTCGCTAGGTGGGGGGTAGACATTTTGGGACCCTTCCCTCAACTCTCCGGTCGGAGAAAGTTCGTGATTGTCGCCATTAACTATTTCTCCAAGTGGATAGAAACCGAGCCATTAGCCACGATCACCTCTCAGCAATGTGCTCGGTTCCTTTGGCGCAATGTGATTTCCCGCTTTGGTGTGCCTGTGCATCTCATCAGCGACAACGGCCGCCAATTCGTAAGCCAGTATTTCCAAAATTTCTTAGCCACGATCGGGATGACCCATGTCCGATCGTCGGTGGCTTACCCGCAGGGAAATGGACAAGTAAAAAATGCCAACCTGACGATTTTGGAAGGTCTAAAAAAGAAGCTACACTCGGCTGGTCGTAGTTGGGTCGATGAGTTGCCATATGTACTATGGACTTATCGGACGACCCCGAGAGAGGCAACTTTGGAAACCTCTTTCGCCCTGGTTTACGGAGCAGAAGCCGGACTCCCGATCGAGCCTTGGATCCCGACCGACCGAGAACGAACTTACAACACGGAGGAGAACGAACACGCGATGGTCGTGGATCTCGAAGGGGTCGAGGAGAAAAGAGAGCTAGCCGCTCTGCGTATGACCGAGTATCAGAAGATAGTCAAGAGTTCAAAGGATGTCCGGGTCAACCCTCGTTATTTTCAGGTCGGAGATTATGTTCTACGACGAAGAGAGGCCAGTCAACCTTTGGAAGGCGGGAAGCTAGCTCAAAATTGGGAAGGGCCGTACATCATCAGTGCCGTCATACGGCCGGGAACGTACCGACTGGAGACAACAACCGGTCGAGTAATCGAGGGCACTTGGAATTCCGAGCACCTCGTGATGTTTAGGCATTAGCCTTTTTTTTGGGTAATCTTTAGACGAAGTGGGGGCTCGACCTGCGAGTTAGTCCCGGTCGTCATGTATATTTAAATTTATTGTTGTAAATCTTTGTTTAACCGCCTGCGAGCGGGAGGGTTTAATGTATATACGATCGGTGATTGCTTGACCGTTTGCACACGGCGGTCCGATCGGTTATTTTCTTTACCTTCATTGCACGCAGGACATCTCATCACCAAGTTACTTCAACCGGGCGAGTCAACGGAGAGCGTCTACAACTATACCGAGACCTGGCCATGGAGAAGCTTACCTAGTTCCGGGGGTATACCGTCCGGCACATACCCCGATTGGATAATGCCGATGCGGACATCTTGTCCAAGTTGGCCCAAGACGCCCCGGAACACATGTCGAAGATTGCTCGGATTGCCGATCAATCCAATACAACCGGTAGAAGACAATTGAATTACCGATCTGAAAGAGTTCCTCGAGCACGGTCAGCCCCCAGACGACCCCAAGCGTGCTCGGAAGGCCAAGCTTAGAGCCCCGAGTTTCCAAGTCTTAGACAGTCGGCTTTACAGGCGATTGTATGGAGGCCCTCTTATGCGTTGCTTGACCGCATTTGAGGCCGATTTGGTTATGAAGGAGTTGCGCTCGGGCATTTGTTCTTCACATCAAGGAGGCCGATCGTTAGCTCGTCGTATCATGCTGATCGGGTATTATTGGCCGTCCCTCCAGCTAAACTGTAAAAAGTTAGCTCGAGAATGTGAGACGTGCCAATTGTTTGCCCGGATGCGTGGACGACCGGCAACCTTCTATCAACCGGTCACGACTGCGATTCCCGTCGCTAGGTGGGGGGTAGACATTTTGGGACCCTTCCCTCAACTCTCCGGTCGGAGAAAGTTCGTGATTGTCGCCATTGACTATTTCTCCAAGTGGATAGAAACCGAGCCATTAGCCACGATCACCTCTCAGCAATGTGCTCGGTTCCTTTGGCGCAATGTGATTTCCCGCTTTGGTGTGCCTGTGCATCTCATCAGCGACAACGGCCGCCAATTCGTAAGCCAGTATTTCCAAAATTTCTTAGCCACGATCGGGATGACCCATGTCCGATCGTCGGTGGCTTACCCGCAGGGAAATGGACAAGTAAAAAATGCCAACCTGACGATTTTGGAAGGTCTAAAAAAGAAGCTACACTCGGCTGGTCGTAGTTGGGTCGATGAGTTGCCATATGTACTATGGACTTATCGGACGACCCCGAGAGAGGCAACTTTGGAGACCTCTTTCGCCCTGGTTTACGGAGCAGAAGCCGGACTCCCGATCGAGCCTTGGATCCCGACCGACCGAGAACGAACTTACAACACGGAGGAGAACGAACACGCGATGGTCGTGGATCTCGAAGGGGTCGAGGAGAAAAGAGAGCTAGCCGCTCTGCGTATGACCGAGTATCAGAAGATAGTCAAGAGTTCAAAGGATGTCCGGGTCAACCCTCGTTATTTTCAGGTCGGAGATTATGTTCTACGACGAAGAGAGGCCAGTCAACCTTTGGAAGGCGGGAAGCTAGCTCAAAATTGGGAAGGGCCGTACATCATCAGTGCCGTCATACGGCCGGGAACGTACCGACTGGAGACAACAACCGGTCGAGTAATCGAGGGCACTTGGAATTCCGAGCACCTCGTGATGTTTAGGCATTAGCCTTTTTTTTGGGTAATCTTTAGACGAAGTGGGGGCTCGATCTGCGAGTTAGTCCCGGTCGTCATGTATATTTAAATTTATTGTTGTAAATCTTTGTTTAACCGCCTGCGAGCGGGAGGGTTTAATGTATATACGATCGGTGATTGCTTGACCGTTTGCACACGGCGGTCCGATCGGTTATTTTCTTTACCTTCATTGCACGCAGGACATCTCATCACCAAGTTACTTCAACCGGGCGAGTCAACGGAGAGCGTCTACAACTATACCGAGACCTGGCCATGGAGAAGCTTACCTAGTTCCGGGGGTATACCGTCCGGCACATACCCCGATTGGATAATGCCGATGCGGACATCTTGTCCAAGTTGGCCCAAGACGCCCCGGAACACATGTCGAAGATTGCTCGGATTGCCGATCAATCCAATACAACCGGTAGAAGACAATTGAATTACCGATCTGAAAGAGTTCCTCGAGCACGGTCGGCCCCCAGACGACCCCAAGCGTGCTCGGAAGGCCAAGCTTAGAGCCCCAAGTTTCCAAGTCTTAGACAGTCGGCTTTACAGGCGATTGTATGGAGGCCCTCTTATGCGTTGCTTGACCGCATTTGAGGCCGATTTGGTTATGAAGGAGTTGCGCTCGGGCATTTGTTCTTCACATCAAGGAGGCCGATCGTTAGCTCGTCGTATCATGCTGATCGGGTATTATTGGCCGTCCCTCCAGCTAAACTGTAAAAAGTTAGCTCGAGAATGTGAGACGTGCCAATTGTTTGCCCGGATGCGTGGACGACCGGCAACCTTCTATCAACCGGTCACGACTGCGATTCCCGTCGCTAGGTGGGGGGTAGACATTTTGGGACCCTTCCCTCAACTCTCCGGTCGGAGAAAGTTCGTGATTGTCGCCATTGACTATTTCTCCAAGTGGATAGAAACCGAGCCATTAGCCACGATCACCTCTCAGCAATGTGCTCGGTTCCTTTGGCGCAATGTGATTTCCCGCTTTGGTGTGCCTGTGCATCTCATCAGCGACAACGGCCGCCAATTCGTAAGCCAGTATTTCCAAAATTTCTTAGCCACGATCGGGATGACCCATGTCCGATCGTCGGTGGCTTACCCGCAGGGAAATGGACAAGTAAAAAATGCCAACCTGACGATTTTGGAAGGTCTAAAAAAGAAGCTACACTCGGCTGGTCGTAGTTGGGTCGATGAGTTGCCATATGTACTATGGACTTATCGGACGACCCCGAGAGAGGCAACTTTGGAGACCTCTTTCGCCCTGGTTTACGGAGCAGAAGCCGGACTCCCGATCGAGCCTTGGATCCCGACCGACCGAGAACGAACTTACAACACGGAGGAGAACGAACACGCGATGGTCGTGGATCTCGAAGGGGTCGAGGAGAAAAGAGAGCTAGCCGCTCTGCGTATGACCGAGTATCAGAAGATAGTCAAGAGTTCAAAGGATGTCCGGGTCAACCCTCGTTATTTTCAGGTCGGAGATTATGTTCTACGACGAAGAGAGGCCAGTCAACCTTTGGAAGGCGGGAAGCTAGCTCAAAATTGGGAAGGGCCGTACATCATCAGTGCCGTCATACGGCCGGGAACGTACCGACTGGAGACAACAACCGGTCGAGTAATCGAGGGCACTTGGAATTCCGAGCACCTCGTGATGTTTAGGCATTAGCCTTTTTTTTGGGTAATCTTTAGACGAAGTGGGGGCTCGACCTGCGAGTTAGTCCCGATCATCATGTATATTTAAATTTATTGTTGTAAATCTTTGTTTAACCGCCTGCGAGCGGGAGGGTTTAATGTATATACGATCGGTGATTGCTTGACCGTTTGCACACGGCGGTCCGATCGGTTATTTTCTTTACCTTCATTGCACGCAGGACATCTCATCACCAAGTTACTTCGACCGGGCGAGTCAATCGACCGGTCAAATGCGCTCCTCTTCGGCGGACAATTGGGTCACGCCACCGATCGGGAAAGCCAGAGCTCCCAGCATAATTTCCCGATCAGTCCAACTTCTTTCCACTATCGCACTCACTCGTGCCTCGAAGGTACAATAGTGTGGGAACTGGGATGAAGTACTGTTGACCCGTCGCTCGGGAAAACCCCGACTGGGGAGGCTTACCTATTCTAAAAATTTCGACAAGGCCAAAAGATCGGGTAAACTTGATCAGGCAGGCCAATTTGACGTCGAAACGTCGGATGCACGACCGGGCCATAAGGCCACAAGGTCGGGTGTCGAACGAGTCGAGTAACGCATGACCGGGCCAAAAGGCTATGAGGTCGAGCGTTAAGGGTTTAGTGCATGTTTGAATGAAGATAAATATGAATAAAAGAAACGGACGACACAAGATTGACAAAAGATGAATTTCATTCAGTAAGAAAGTGCCCGGTACAAACTCGGGACCGGGCTCCCGATCAGCGTCTACAAAAAAGAGAGAAGTAAAACTACTTCTATTTCTTCGCTCCCTTGGCTTCCTCTTTCTTACAAGCCTCCGCCTCGCTCGGGACCGTCGCCGCAGGACCGCTCGGGTCGGCTGCCTTGTGCTTGGGGGCGAACGGAGAGGGACCGGGGTCGGCAAGGTCGGGAGGAAGGGCAGACAAAACCAGCTGAAGGTCGTCTCCTTCAAGGGCCTGCTCCATTCGTTTCTGGGCCCTCTCGAGCATTTTCCTTTGCCCGGCTTTGAAGGCCCACCGACCGAATGATAGGATCAGGTCCTCCCCGATCTTCGTCCTCCGGGCCGCCGTGAGAAACGCCGAGCCCGTTTCGTTGTCTTTAAAAACGGATTTGGCCAGCTCGTTCGGGTTCTCCAGTCGGGCTTTCAGCTCCGCGGCTTCCCCGATCGCCCGCTGCGCGACCTTTTCAGTCAGGACCCGATCTTCCTCGCTCTTCTTAAGGTCTTTCTGGACCTTCTCCAGCTCAGCCTGAATGTCCTTGACCTCTTGAAGGCGTCGGGCAGCGATTTTCTTATATCGATCGGCCTCGTCGGCCAGCATGGCTCGACCCTGAAGGAGCTGGGCCGCTCGGGAGATCTGCAACACAGAAAACGCTCAAAGTTAGCCCGGTCAGAGGCACTTGTATAAAAAATCAACTGGAAAACGCTTACCTCGGCCAAGTCGTGGCCGATCCTTTCGGCCACCTGAGTCGGGGTCATCTTCCCTTGATCCTCCCTCACCGGCCCGGCATTGCCGATACGGCCCAGTATGGACGACTCGTCCTTATTCCACCCGGCCGAGGGGCTCGGGCTGCGCTGCTCCCTACGACGCTTGATGCCGCCGACCTCGGTCATGCCCTTCTCGGGCACCTTCTCCTTGCCCCGAGCGACCTCCACCCGGTTGACCAAGACGTCCGATGGCTCGACCACAAAGCCCTCGCCTGTTGTGATGGTCGAGGTCCCGATGGGTCGGGCCAGTGGAACCTCCTTCGACCCGGTTGGTTTGGCCTTTGGCTTCTTTTTGCCAAGTGAGATCTTGGCGGGCGGGGGAAGAGGAGCGGCATCGTCTCCAAATTCTGCCATTTCTGCAAAATAAAAATAAATAAGGCAATTAGTTCGGGAAAAGTAGAATCGTTCGGGCTGTTAGGATCGGGAAATGTGGTTAGCATTTGGTAGGGAATATCCCGACCGACATTACTTTACCCCGGCTGGTATGCCTTTGTCTTTTTTCTTCTTGTCTTTGCACGTAGCAGGTCGGGCTTCTTGTGAGGAACCCGGTCGGGATCTGACCGGGAGTTGCCCGACCGATAGTGTCGACCACCAAGCGGTAGCCCTTTGGCGTGAGAGCTGGCAAAGGACACGTGACGGTTCCTTGCGACAACAGACAAGGCACCCGGGAGGATGACACGTGGTGGCTACGTGGAGAGCATGCCGAACGACCGGATTTGTGTCCCCGGTGCAGCGGCTATAAATACCCACAGTGGCTACAGTGTGAGGGACTTTGGGACGATCGATAGGTTGTTGTTAGAGAATCCCGACCGCAGTCAGTCGGCACTCAGAGCAACCAAGTAGATTGTACTTAGGGACTTCACCGTGATCAATAAAGATATTTACTTGCTTTAATTGGTCTCGGGTTTATTTAATTGTTGCTACGTAAAATTAGCAGTATCAGCATTAAACCTTTAACCTTCCGCTGGCCCCGAGCGGGCATCCTTGCAATTGTCACGCCCCGAGGCTCGGGCTTGTACTTCTCGGGCACGTCGTATACGGGCTCGGGCAGGTCGGCCGCTTCAAGGGACTTGGTCGTCCTGAAGATCCGGTACTCGTAAATTTTCCCGGATATTTTGGTGGCCGCGGTTCATACTTTACGGAGAACAACCGGTTCTTCCATCCCCGGTTGTTCCCGGGCAGACCTTCAATCGAGCACATGTCCGCTCGGGATTGGGTCATCAGGTACCCGCCCCCGTATGTGGCCGCAAGCACCTTCATCTGGTAGATGAAGTTGAAGAGTTCCATGGTGCAGGCCAGCTGGTGTCGACCGCAGATCTGCGGGAAGCATGCAATCATCCGTTGCGCATTCGGGCAGATCTGCCCGGGCACCACCTGGTAATAACCCAGGAATGCGGTGAGGAGGCTCGAGAAGGGGAAAGTGATCGGGGCCATGAGGTCGAAGTGCATCCCGAGCCACCTTCCCCAGTGCCACTCGATAATATTCCCGAGCTGCCGGCTTATATCAAATTCGACCCGACCGGCGAGAGTTGCGACGATTTTGGCTGCTTCACCCTTCGTCAGCTTACTCATCTGGGTCTCGACGCTCTCGCTATTGAGGAACTCAAACCCGTCCCCGCCTGGCGCTGCAAGCCCGGCCGAGTCTTCCTCGACCGCCTCCGCGTCGTCTGCCCGGTGGTCCCCTTCGGGCTCAACCTGAGGGTAATCCCCTAATACCCTCATAGGCGTTCCCCTAACGCCTTCGACCGGGGAATCCCGTCCCCTCGTGGACGCTTTCCCGCTTTCTTCGCTCGAGCTCCCCGACCCACTGGAGCTCGACCCCGACGTCCCCGAAGAGCTGGATGACCTTTCATGCTCGGGGGCTCGGTCGGGGGTTGGCTGCGGTCGTTGTTCGACCTCCGGAGAATAGGACATGATGTCCACCTCCTCGCTAATTTGCTCGACCCCATCGTCGTAGTCTGCGACCGAGACGTTCTGGCTGTCTGAGTCTGACATCTTTTTTTACCTAAAGGTCGGTCGTGGTTAGTACAGGGCTCAGGACGGTGCGTTGGAGTTAGTCCTATCCTACCTCTACGCAAAACTAGAAATAAAAGACAAAGTAAGGAAGAAGAAAGCTTACCGACCAGGAAGACTTTGATGGAGCTTGAAGTTAGTTTGCTCGGTTGATTCAGAAGATTGAGGAATATTCAAATGAGGGCCTCAAGAGCCTATTTATAGGAGAGCATTTGGGCGGAAAACCAATCCACTTGTGCGATGTGACCCGCACTGATTCCGAGACGACCGTTGCAGTCGCAGAGGCCGGCAGTTGCCGACACGTGGCGAGAGAAGGAATAACAGCTGGCCGGTCGGTTTGGTAACCGACGGTTGGGCTTCTTCATCCCGTCCCGTTTTTTCCTGGACGGTCAAAAAAGCCCGTGCTAGGGGCTCTTGGTAGAGAATATCACGACCGACATATCTTTACACAGACCGATGTGTCTTTATTTTTGTCTTCTTGTCTTTGCAAGTAACAGGTCGGGCTTCTTGTGAAGAACCCGATCGGCTTTCGACCGGGAGATTGCCCGAGCGGTAGCACTTTGGCGAGAGAGAACTGACGAGAGACACATGGCGGCTCCACGCGTTGACAAGCAGGGCACTCGGGAAAACGACACGTGGTTGCTACGTGGGAAGCATGCCGAACGGCCGAATTTGTGTCTCCGGCTCCGCGGCTATAAATACCCGCCATAGCTGCAGTGTGGGGGACTTTGGGACGATCGATAAGTTGTTGTTAGAGAATCCCGACCGCAGTCAGTCGGTACTCAGAGCAACCAAGTAGATTGTATTTAGGGCCTTCACAGTGATCAATAAGAGTTATTTACTTGCTTTAATTGGTCTCGTATTTATTTAATTATCGCTTACGTGGCAATTAACACTATCATTATTCTCATTTAGTGCTTTGACCGCATACACGTGGATATTAGTACTATCAATGTGCTACGACGACGTGAAGCAAGTCAACCCTTGGAAGGAGGCAAGTTGACCCAAAATTGGGAAGGACCGTATGTGATCACATCGGTCGTTCGCCCGGGCACTTACCGTCTTGAAACAACCACGGGGAGATCAATCGACGGAACTTAGAATTCAGAAAATTTAGTGTTATTCCGCCATTAATGTTGACGTTTTATTTAGACGTGGTGCGTGTTTAACCTGCGAGTGGGCACGCTCGTTTTTTCTTTATGTGTAAGTGAATGTTTAAAGGTTTAACCGTCTGCGAACAGGATTTAACTTTGTAAGATCAATCGTTGAGTGCTTGCTCGTCTACGCACGAGGGCTCGATCGATTACCATAATATGTAAATAGTATGCAGGTTATTAAATCAATTCCAGAAGTTCAACCTCGATCGTGATTCAACAAATTTGCAACTTCCAAGACTCGGTGACAACGACCGAAACGGGCGAACGCCCCACGACCACAACGTCGCTAAAACTTGCCCAATAAATATCGGGATTAACTTGTCGGTTATAACTGATGAGGGTAAAGGCCTTTCATTCGGCACCGACCGATGGAGGTAAAAACCCAACGACTTTAAAAGTCGCTCACATTTCACCCGGGCAGATCACAATACTCGACAAACGAGTCTCATCTCCGCCGAACAGTCGTATTGCGACATCGATCGGATAAAGCATGTCAAGCAGTATGTGCCCGATCAATCCCAACACTAACCAACCTCTTAAACACTGTCGCACTCACTTGTCCCTCGTGTGTCCGGCAGTATGGGGGCTAAGGGTTAAGATACAACAAAGTAGGTCGAACGAGCATAAAATGTTAAGCGTGAATAAGCGAACGAGCATAAAATGATAAGCTTGAATAAGCGAAAAAATGCGAGAAAATAAAAAAGAGGTAGGCAATAGACAATCGATCGATTCGTTGAAAAATTAAAAGTTGCCCTATACAAACGGACCGGACTCTCGATCGAGTTAAGATACAAAATTTTACAAAATAGAAAAGCTTTTAGGCTTGGTCGTCGGTCACACAACCTTCCCTTCAACTTTTTCACACGCAGTTGGCTCGGACGTAGCTCCAGATGTGGATGGCTCAGTAAAAGGCGTAGGCCCGGGGTCGGGGATCTCATATGGAAAAGTGGTCAACACCGCCTTCAGATCCTCGCCCTCGAAGACCTCTTCCATTATGGTCCAGCTCTCCTCCCGAAAGTGGTACAGCGATCGAAACCGAAAGCGATCGTGGCGTGTACTTCAGTTCTAAGTCGTATAGGGGAGGCGGCAATCGGGCGTTCTCGTATGCCTCTCTCGATCTTAAGATATTGTACTCATGAAACTCGCATGAAATGTGGAAGGTGGCTTCTCGAAGGGCTCGAGTGGCTGGTGATTGTATATGTTTCTTGTAATATGTCCCCCACGTTCGGTCGACCGACAGGATCCAGAGGCCGTACTCGACCGAAAAGATCCTGTTCTTCCACCCTCGTTGTTCCCGGGAAGATTGGCGATCGAGCACAGGTGGTCCCGGGATTGAATCATCAGGAATCCTCCACCGTATAGGGCTGGCAAGGGGTTTAACTATGTAAATATAGTTGAAGAGCTCCATCGTACACATGGTCTTGTACCGAGCACATATCTGCGGGAAGCACACCAATATCCGATGAGCGTTCGAGCAAATCTGCGCCGGCAACGCACGGTAGTAGCCCAAGAACGCGGTCAAGAGGGGGGAAAAGGGGAAGGTGATCGAGGCTATTAAGGAATCGAAGTGCATCCCGATCCATTTCCCGTAGTGCCGTTCTTTAATTCCCCCGAGACTCCTGCGGGTATCGAACCTCACCCGACCGTTTAGTGTGGCCGAGATTTCAGCCGCTTCGTGGGCCAACAATAGACATTCTTGCTGCTCGACGCTTTCGCTATTGAGGAAGACGAATTCGATCTCTTCAGGCGCCGAGTGGGAGGGCCCTTCGTCGGCCGTATCGTGCGAAACTTCTTGAATGCGGGGAGACGCGTGAGCTTCAGAACCGGACCCAATCGTCCGAGTGGGCGTTTCCCGATCATGATCGGGCAAGGACTTGTGGTCGCTGGTAGATGCGTTCTCGCTGTCGTCGCTGCTGCCGCTCGAGCTCGACGAGCCTTCCGAGCTCGAAGAACTTTCTTCTGATTCAGTAACCGATCTTAGTCGTCGATCGGCGTTAGTAACCTCGGGCGAGGACTATTCTACCATCGTTTCTTCGCCACCGCTCTCGATCGTGTTGTCGTAGTCCGCCCCCGATATGTTTTCACTATCTGAGCCTGACATATCCCCTTCATAAAGGAGACGGTCGGTTCAGCGGAAGGGGTCGGAGTATAGTAAATAGAGTTTATCGGGTCGACGGGACGAGTGTTATACGAAAAATAAAAGAAAATTAAACGAAGGTAGAAAGGGAGGACTTACCGATCGGTAGAACTTGAGAAACGGTTGAGGAAGTACAGAATTCGATCGATCTACAGTGTTGATGGCTCGGGAAGCTCCGATTGATTTCCACAGCGGGGTAAAACTAGAAATGAGCTTTGCAAGGCCCTATTTATAGGAACCCTTTTGGCGGGAAAATCAGCCACTTGCGTGAGGTGACCGTTCCGAATCTCAAGATGTCTGCGGAGCGACACGTGTCTCGGGCGAGGGCAGCTGGGAGGTCGGGGCTGAGGGCCCATGTGACGTGGTCTTTTCCATCCCACACCGATTTCTCCCGGACGGTCCGAAACGGCCCGTGCTAGGGGGCTCTTGGTAGGATATATCCCGACCGACCTATGATGTTCTCCACGTCATTTCGCTACAACTCCTTTGCTCGAGCGCTGCAGCGGGAAGACGGTCGGTACCGATCGTCCGTGTGACCTTGTGCTGACCTTCTGCTTAGAGGCGTTCGAGCCCGATCAACCAACCCACCTCCTGATCGGTGTTCTGCTCGACCGCCATACTTTTGCACCATGTGGAAGCGATATCGATCGAAAGGCGCACATGGCAACGCCAGGCGTTGACAGAGGGTGGCCACCAGGCTTTGGCACGTGGATGCTGCGTGGAGTACATGCTAATAAGCCGGACGCTGTCCTCGGCGATAGGCTATAAGTATCCATGGCGCATAAGGCGAAAGGGACTTTTGGAACGATCAAGATGCTACTTACAGAGCAGCCTGACCGCAGTCAATCGGCCCTCGGAGCAGTCATTTATATTGTACTAGGTCACCCGTGTATTTACACTATCAATCATGATCTAGCATCCCATAATAAAGTAGCAATATTGTTGCGAATCACCTTCATCTAATAATAATAATAATAATAATAATAATAATAATAATAATAATAATAATAATAATAATAATAATAATTGCGGTGAAAGTTGATAAAGGAGAATAGAAAATGATTTTAATTGGAAAGGGTAAATGATGTCATTTCTTTAAAATAATAAGGACAAAAATAGAAGAAAAAAAAAAGTTAGGAAGCTACTAGCTTATTTTGAAACACTACCTAAGGTAGCGTTTCAAAATAAGCTCTTATTTCAAGCTACACGCTTATTTTGGGAACATTACCAAACAGAGCTTATAGCTTATTAATAACTTAAAATAAGATATAAGCTCCTAAATAAGTTTTGCCAAACAGAGCCTAGGTATCGAGAAATACGGAGAATACTGAATCATTTGAACCTCGTAACATGCAAAAAAGGAAAAACAAAAAACAAAAAATGTAAGTGAAATAGTATATTGGCAATTTTATTTGTTAGTCTAAATTAATTAGGGTTAAATACTAGCACGAATTTTATACCTTTCGCTCTCCTCTCGGCATTTAGCAACTCGGTTCGCAATCTTTCCACTTCAGTAGCCTTGGCAACAACGTCGGTCTCCAGAAGTTTCATTTGTTCAACTTTCGCTACATTTTTACCTTTCTCAAACTCAAATGTCTCGCTTTTGCCACGAAAAATAAAGATCAATTCAGTAAAAAAAAAACAAAAAAAAAAAAAAAAAAAAAAAAAAACACACACACAAATAACGCTATCTCATTATAATATTTCAAAAACATGCCTAAACCACATCAGCTACATTTTCACATTTTGATCCCTTTGCACTAACTCGAGTGGAAGTGCTACAATCCATTAAATGTCAGAAAACACAAGAAAGAACCAGAGAAAAGCCCGCATCAACACAAAAAAAATTCAATAGTTGAAAGCATCCTCAAAGCTAAAACATCTAAAAACATATTTATCGATGTGAATCCCAAACCAATACTAAAGTAGTGTTAACATTTTTGTAAAGGTCAAAAAACACTACATAGAACACAAGGAAAAGGAGTTAATACCCAATTTAGTCTACGATTATAGTGATTTTTCTCGATTTAGTACTAAAAGTCTTTTAATGCTTAATTGGGTCCTGGATTTCGATTGTTTTACTTAATTGAGTCATCGGCTATTAGAATCCAGGAAAACCATTATAGTCGAGGACTAAATTGGATATTGAGAACTAAATTGGGCAGAAGGACTATATTGGGTATTAATAGAGGAGAAATTACCAAGTTATCCTAACAAATGACTCAATTAGGTAAAACCATCGAAGTTCAGGACTTAATTAAGCACAAAAAGACTTTTAAGACTAAATCAAGAAAAACCACTATAGTCGATTACTAAATTGGGTATTAACTCCAAGGAAAATCATAAGAAATTTGATAAATGCGTATGCACATTCAAGGATTCAACATGTGGTTAGTCCAAACATACGACTCTTAAGCAATATAAGCAAATAATAATAATAATAATAATAATAATAATAATAAAGAGCAATACTAAAAGATTTGCTTACCGTAACTGTTGGTGTTCTTGCTGCAAATTTTCAAGTTCAGACCGCACTTCTGGTAATTTCTTGAATTCTAAACGAGTTTTTTCTAATTCTTCAGTAGCGGGCTTAAATTTAGCATCCAACTCTTGAGTAATGGTAACTAAATTCTGTGCCTCGTTAATGGATTGTTGTAGATCGTTCTTGATACTATCAGAAGCTTGAACGGCACTTTCCTTTTTTGCCATCTTGTCCAATGTGACCCGAATCTGGATATCACTTTCAGTTCGAATGCTTCTAACATGATCTCGGAGTTTCTCTATTTCCTCATGAACTGCAGAAATGTCCTGCTTCAAGGTCACATGAGTAGACGCTAATGTATGATTGTCGGTAACGAGCTGCTCTATTTCTGCCGCCTGAGAGACTAATTTGCCCTCCAAAATTTCACGATGAAGTGGATCAACGGAGTGATGTGCAGCGGGCAAAAAACCATAAGATGTCATTCCGGCAGCAGGAGTCGAATGTCCCTCGAACACTTGTGGAATATGCCTTCCGTTCGCCATATATACAATTTGTCACTATCGTAAAGGGGCAAACGATTACTTGGTCTCCGGTTGCCGAGATGAAACCACCTATAATTTTATCAAAGAATTAGCGCTAGAAAAAAACATGCTTTTCTATCAACGTAGTCAATACAATTCAGGGAAAAAAATCAAAAGCGGTCTCCTGTCTCCATTAAAATGACAAACAGCTATTACCCACAACATCTACTTTCTTCTGAATCGCATATTTTATACAGAAACATTCATCAATTTAGAATGTTGAGTCCCAATACAACTTCATTCCTAACATTTTCACCATAAAGATAAAAGCTTTCTCTTTCAATGTGACAAAAACAAAAACATTTCCAGTTTTCTCCTCTTTCTGGCAGCTTCAATATCCCTTTTTCTAAATCCCCAGACATCATACTCAAAAGCATTCTACTTTCGCAACATTTTCCACACAAATGGCATCACAATTCATCTCCCAATTAGTGCACATAACAACTAAAATGTGTAAACATTAGGAAAAAGGAATCAAAGAGCTCTAAGGAACTGACAAAAGAGTGAAAAGAAAAAGAATTCTGAATTCAATCATACACACTGCAATAGAAATCCAGAAACAGTTCTGAAATCAACCATAAGTTCTATCAAGAATGATAAAGAATATGTTTTTATCTCTAATAATGGATTGCACTTTCCAGAAAGAAGAAAAATAAAAAATAACAAATTGTGCAATTAGCGTGCGTGCAGGAGCTAGGGTTTCGAATTCAGGGCACAATTATCTCCAAACCTCAACAAAGGCTCTAACAATGTTGATACATTTGCGATAGGATAAGAGACTCAAAATTCACAGGATGTTCTTGCTTGTTCAGTTGCTCGATACAAACATCATATTCCATTCAAAAAACAACAACAAAAACAAAATTGTATGTATATCATGCGTGGGTATAAGAAACGGTAGATCATACCTTCATATAGAGACACTTGCAGAGCTTCCTCTCTAGGAAGCAAGTGACCAGGGAAGAACTTCGTTCTGAGAGTTTGATACGAGGAGCGAGAGAGAGAATTAGAGTACTATGTACTCGGAAGTAGGAAGGCTTGTCTTTCTCTTCTCTCTCTCTTTCTCTCCCAACGTTTTTTTCTCCTTTGGATATAAATGTTGATGAAATTACAAACTCGCCCTTAAGATTAAAAAAAAAAAAAAAAAAAAAAAAAAAAAAAAAAAAAAAAAAAAAAAAAACCTTGTAGATGGAATTAAGCGCCGTTCGCTCCGAGGGACGAGGAACCGAACTTGGGTTATTTCGAAATTCTCTCTCAGAAAGAGAGCTCACTTAACATCTGAGTTATCATCCCAAGTTAAAATCGCAATTATGTCCTGAAAATGTGTTCACATAACTGGTGAATACGGGTTCAAACAATGTCATTTTTACGAAAAAAAAATTTAGTTAATGCGCTGTTAACAGGCGTTTTGCTTTTTATGTTCAAATTATGAATTTATATTTATTAAATTATAAATTTTCTGTTATGAGATTATGAATTTACAATATGTAATTATGAATTTTCTGTAAATTCATAATCTCATAACAGAAAATTCATAATCTCATAACCAGTGTTGCAAAAATCCCGCCTAGGCACCGATTAATCCCCGCCTAGGCGCTAGGCGTTGGCTGGCCGCCTAGCGTATCACCATAATTGGTGATCTAGGCGGTTAGCCGGCTAGGCGGCCGACTAGGCCGCCTAAGCGCCGCCTAGGTCGCCTAGGCCCTGACCGCCTAGGCTTCCTAGGCACCGACTGGTCGCCTAGTCGGCCGATTAGCTATTGTTTTCTTCTTTTATAAATGAGTTATTTCACTCAAAACGATGTCTCATTTTGAGTGAAATAATCCTAAATTATTCAAACTCTATGTTTTTTGTTAATATTTAATATTTAAATATTAAAATATTAAATAGTTTATAATTATCAAGTTTTAAAAAATTTTAAAAATTTAAACAGTTTTTTTTTAAAATAAAAAAATACACGGGCGCCTAGGCGCCGATTAATCCCCGCCTAGGCGTCTTAGGCGCTAGGCGCTACCCAAACGTCCGAGGAGCGCCTAACGATTTTTTTCAACCATGCTCATAACAGAGATTATGAATTTTCTGTTATGAGATTATGAATTTACATTTATTAAATTATGAGTTTTCTATTATGAGATTATGAATTTACAGTTATGTAATTATAAATGTTTTGTAAATTCATAATCTCATAACAGAAGATTCATAATCTCATAACAGAAAATTCATAATTTCATAACAGAAAATTCATAATATCGTAAAAGTCGCCCTATTAATTAAGAGAGAGAACCAAAAAAAATAATAATAACGGTGTCGTTACCGTTGAGACCGTGTTCACCATGGATGGTGAACACGGTTCCATGGCATAATGATTGGGTTAAGACCTTGTGGTTTAATGACATATTGACATTAAAGTTGGACTCCCATATAGGAGGTTGTGGGTTCAAGTCTCAATGGAAGCGATATTGACTCTTTGTGTTTTAGTAGGTTGAACAGATACTATATAACACTTTTTTTCCCTAAAATTGGCTTGAGAATATAATTTTTCTTGCAATTTAAGGGGTTGTTTACCAAAGTGGAGAAATGGAAAATTTTTCAAAAAAATAGAAAATTGGAGAGGTAGAAAAATGGAAAATGGAAAAGTTGTTTACTAAATTTGTTCCTCCAAATCCTTATTCCATCTCCATTCTCCACTCTTCTTAAGGAATTTGGAGAATTGAAAATCCAACTTCTCCAAATGGAGAAATGGAAACACACGGGTGAACAGTACAAGCCAAGTGTGGCGTCCCAGGTTCGAATCCTGTTGATCCCTTCTTCTTTCGATTTTGATTTTTGACACTGGCGCACACTTCTTCTTCCGATTTTTACACTGGCGTACAAGCAAAGCGTGGCATTCAGATTTTTGACACCTCTTCAGATTTTATTATTATTATTATTATTATTATTATTATTATTATCATTTAATTATTATTACTAATTATTATTATTATTGTTATTATTATTAAATTATTAAATTTTTATTACTATTATTAGTATTGTTATTATTATTATTATTAATTATTAAATTAGTATTATTATTATTAAATTATTAAATTCTTATTATTATTATATTACTACTATTATTATTGCTGTTATTATTATTATTAAATTATTATTATTATTTTTATTATTATTATTATTATTATTATTATTAAATTTGTATTATTATTATTATTGTTGTTGTTGTTGTTATTGTTGTTGTTGTTATTATTATTATTATTATTATTATTATTATTATTATTATTATTATTATTATTATTATTATTATTATTATTGTTATATAGGTTGATAATAAAATCAGAAAATTAGAGAAATGAAACTGGAAGAATGGAGAAATGGAAAACTGGAGGAATGGAGAAGGAAAACTGAAAAAATGGAGAAATGGAAAACTGGAAATGGAAAAACAGAGAAATGAAGTAAACGACCCCTAAGACTTTGTGAGGTGTTAGAAGTCGAGGTTTGAGGATCACGCATGGAATTTATGTGTTGCATGTGTTAAAGGTTGTAAATATACTACAATTAAGAAATACGTTCAAAACACGGTAAGATGTTTTACTGGAGACATGGACGATGCTCCTGCTTAATCTTGTGGAGTATTGCAACCTTGTCAGAGAGAGTTAATGATTATGAAATTACAAACTCACCCTTGAGGTTTTGCATAGAAACTCAAAAAAAAAAAAAAAAAAAAAAAAAAAAAAAGTGTCTTCCTGCACCATAAATTATATCAGATTCTTCATGTCGTACCCTGAATTTTCATAAGTGTTATTTCGATCCACAAACCATTAAAATTTTCCACCTATAATTTTTTACGGGTTACCTACAGGTTGCAGGTAATCTATGTTGACAAGAACTTTTTTTTTTCTAGTACCTTTGCCATTCTCCGGGAGTCGCTGCCACTGCTCCTTCAATCTTTCAAGTTCTTTCCTCAACTCCCCTACGAGGGTTCATTGTAGTCGTTGTCACTGCTCCTTCGAATTGTTCATGTTCCGGAAGATCCGTACGAGGTCATTGTAGTCGTCGGCAATGACTTAAAGCTCCCGTCCACTTCGGAGTGATAGGAGAGTTCGTAGTCAAGCAGCGTCCGATCGTCTAACAACTCAGCTCCATTGACGTAAATTGTTATCCTACTCACCGGAATACCGTCCGGAAGAGTGAACATTCGATGATCAAGCTTTAACGGTGTTGAGTCCACAACCTGAAACCACCATAAAACAACAACTTAACCCCTCTCCATTATCAGCCCATCACTGCAACTCCGATCCTCCAGCAACTTTGAGTCAAACTTTAATAAAAAACACAATGTTTTATTTAAAATTTAATTTATAAGAACTCAGCAGGCCCATTATGCGGTGTGCATCAAGAAACTGCAATTCATCTATTTTTGGGGTGGTTGTTCGAACACACATAGGTGAGGAACATGGTCTCATATGGGAAGGAAAGGGTGAAGGGAAAGCTTAAACATAGAATGACGAAAATATCCCTAAATTACACGGTTGGGAGACAAAATTTTTAACTATTGAACAAAAGTGGAACACTTATAATAATAGTGCAGTGGTTGTAATGTGGCAAGACAGATAATGGTGGACTTCATTGAGTCACCGTGATATACATCCTCCCACATGCTCTGTCGGGTCGGAGTGTAAGGGACCCTTAGAATTGGGGATTCAGCCTTTTGGAATAAGATTGATACTGCTAATTCTACGTAAGCAATATAAATAACACAAGACCAAGTAAAGCAGGTAAAGTCTTTATTGATCAAGGTAGAGTTCCTAAGCACAATCTACTTGGTTGCTCTGAGTACCGACTGAGTGCGGTCGGGATTCTCTAATAACAACCTATCGATCGTCCAAAAGTCCCCTACACTGTAGCTACTGTGGGCATTTATAGCCGCTGTGCCGGAGACAAGATCCCCGCTGCTCGGCATGTCTTCCACGTAGCCACCACGTGCCTTCCTCCTGGGTGCCCTGCCTGTCGACGTAAAGAGCCGCCACGTGTCTTTAGTCAGCTCTCTCGCCGAAGGACTACCGCTCGGGGTTGACAGCCTCGCTCGGGCGACTCCCGGTCGGTTCCCGACCGGGTTCTTCTCAAGGAGCCCGACCTGTTACCTGCAAAGACAAGGAGAAAGAGACAAAGACTCCTCGGTCGTGGTGAAGCTACATCGGTCGGAATACTCCCTACCAAGAGCCCCCCAGCCCGGGCCTTTTTGATCAGTCGGGAAAAAACGGGACGGGATGAAGAAGCCCAACCGTCAGGCATTAGACCGACCGGCCAGCTGTCATTCCCCCCTACGCCACGTGTCGGCCTCCGCCGGCCTCGGCGATCCCATCCGTCGCCTCGGATTCAGCGCGGGTCGTGTCAGGCAAGTTGGCCCATTTCCCGCCTAAATGTCCTCCTATAAATAGGCCCTTGAGGCCCTCATTTGAACTTTCCTCACTCTTTCGCATCAGTCGGTAACCTCAGAGAGTCCCGAGCAGAGCAGCTTATCAAGGCAGTCGAACAAGCAAACTTCAACTTTCAAGCTTCAACCTTCAATCTTCCTCCAACCGGTAAGCTCTCAACCCTCCTCTTTACTTTAGGCTCTCATTTATAGGTAGAACTGCTAGGTCAACTAACTGTCCCGGGCGTCTCAAGTCCCTACTAACCCCGACCGACCTTTAGGTAGATCGATATGACGGACTCAGACAGTCAAAACGCCTCGATTGCTGATTACGACGAGGAGGTCGAGCACCTCAGCGACGAGGTGGACATAATGTCCTACACCCCGGACGCCAGCCCCCGAGCGACGCCAGCCCCCGAGCAAGCCGCCGAGCGAGACAACGCATCAAGCTCCTCTGGATCGTCAAGCTCAAGTTCGAGCGGATCGGGGAGCTCCAGCGAAGAAGAGGAAGAGAGGACCACGTCAAGCGGGCGAGGTTTTCCAACCGAGGGCGTTAGGGAAACGCCTACCCGGGTGGTTGGGAACCACCCGGAGGCTGCTCCTCGAGGGGGTGATCGAGAAAATACCCCCGAGCAGACCGAAGAAGACCCGGCCGGGCCGGCCACACC